GAGATGCTGCTCCATACTTTTCGCACACGCATTTAGCAGGTTTATCAGGCTGCTTCAGAATGCAATGTATTGCACGTTACACGCCGCGCGTAAATTGTTAAACTTTTCCATCAATGTAACGGTCCTTGTAAATGATTGAAGGTAGATATATAAACACAGAGTGATTTATGAAATATTTATCAATAGAACAAATAAAAAATTAAATTTTTTGCAGACTAAAGAGAAATATTCATTTTCGAGTTGTCAAAAATTTTTTGGACATTCTACTTTGAAGAATTTAATCAAAAACTGTACAAGAAGAATTATATTATCACGTGATAAATTGAGACATGTCTGCTTTCGATATTTTTCTAAAAATATGCACAAAAGTGTGAACACACACACACAGTATGAAAATATTGATGTAATGCGCGAAAAGCAAACAGATATAAACGCTATAATATAATATCGCAATAAAGTTCCGTGCATTTACGAGATGAACAAAGGTCCGAACGCGACTCGGAAATACAATTCTGTTTACTCACAACTCGTGCTGAAGTGCTTCGCGCGCGATCTTAAGGTCGATTCGATCGAATTAAATATCGCGCAGCGGCTAGTGCCGAGCTTGCGAAACCGCAGGCATCAGCCGGCCAAGTGGTTTATACGTCGTCTAAGTTAAATATTTAAATATTTTCCGGTAACGTGCCGCAGCGAATGGTGCAACTACTTTACCCGCGCGCACTGCAATACACTCGTCGGTTTATTCATAGATTATCCGGCAACATCCTGGTCTACCATGCAGTCGCGTATATAGATGCATCACCCGCCGTTTCACGATCATTCTTCGATCCGATCGAAATGTCGCGAGATATTGCGAAAGCACCGCGTTTCTGATTTATGATCGCTATTCCTGTTTGCGCGCCACGAAAAATCAACCGTAGTCAAATTCTGTAACATCCGGCCTTAAATTGAGAGCTGTCTTCATGTCAATGATTTAGAAGAATTTATTATAGACACGCATTAAAAAGTTTAATAATAACCTCCTACAAAAATAAGACAAGTAACACTTAAAAACAAGAAGCTGTACTTGATCAATGGAAGTGTGATAAAAATATGAAAAGTTAAAGTAAATTAGAATATATGGAATTTAATTAAAGGATTACAAATATAAAAACGTAATATCGAATCTATTTCTTGATTTTAAACCGCTTTGTTGTTAAAAAAAGATGTCTCGTTAAGAAAATTATCTAAGCTTGCGAGATTGCTGCAACAGTACCGGACGTAACTGCGTTTAATATCGCGCATGCACAAGATTCCTTTACGGTCTCCCGAGAGACTGATACACAAGCGACGAGTAATAAAAGTCACCGGTACCTACCGATACCACCCACGTGCCTAGTCGCATCCGCACCTCTTAACAGTCAATGGAAACGCGATTACGCTATTGTTCGAAAGTTTATGGCCGGCCGACGGGGCCTTTCATTACTCTCCAATGTGTATCTCTCGCATTGCCGCGCGCTTTCTCGCCGCACGTCGAATTTCCGCCGCCGGGGCCGCAGTTTCTCTAAACTTCCACCGATAATGCTATCGATAAAGTAGAGAATTTGTACTCTCCGCACGACGCATGCTACTTCATCACGTCCAGGGAAACTTGCTACTTCAAGAATACATCGTCGGGTACAGCACATCGGACCGTCGGAATGCTTAGATGCACGCAATCGCTTTCGCTGTTCCAATATTAAATGATTGAAGCGCCGAGCGGGAGCAAGTATTGATCGACATGGAAATTGAGTACTGCAGGCATCCAAATATTATTAAATGTATCATATATAGCTTGAATCCTGCTTACGTAAAATTGTAAATGATATAAAATTATCTAAGAAACTGTCACAAATCATATTTTGCGATAATTATATTTTAATTGGCAAATTCGTATTTTTTTTTTTTTTTAATTAAAACTTTATAAAATTCTACTTGTGCTCTGTAAATGTATTATTCGTTATAAAAATATCGTGTTTCTAAAATTGGCAGAACAGATATTTGATCTGGAATTTCGATGAATTTTTGCGTCATAATAATCTAACAAGAGTGCAAAAATAAATATAGTTAGAACGTAAAGCAAAAGTAAACTAAAAAATTGTAAAAGATCCCACGAAGCATTAAGCGACGAGCTTTTTGCGAACTTCACACAGTGGAGGTCATTAGTATTACGTCATACCCGACAGCAATTTCATGAATGAAATACGAAATTCACGCGCTTGGGCGTAATGACGTCAACGGCAAGCATGACGTCGACGGAAGGTCTCACGCATCCACGGAAGAAATAGTTCGCCGCTCTCCGACGTAAACGCGGCTGCGTACAAATGTGCGACTCGATAACCCGGTGCGCCTCGGGCTTGGCGCGTGCTTCTGTCACATTGCGTACGTAAAAGCGAGTTCTGGCCAAATTGGAAAATTTCGCTGACTGTAACGGACACACGCTGAATTATCACGCTGTGAATATACATTCCACCGTCTCGCGCCGTAAACAATTCTGCTTTCTCTCAAGTAACGTTGCTTTCTTTCTCCGCGCGTGACTAATTTTCGCCGTATGTGCATCTCACTTCAATGCGAGATGTAAATTCTTCGAAAAACCTCGTTAATCTTCGTCCGCGTGCATCATTCGCATCAAAATTTATCCACGCTTTAAATCCCGGCAAAGAAATTCACGGAAATTCTACTCCTGTACAGAGAAGTGCATTCCATTTTACTGAATCGATTGCATATTTGCAAATGCGTTTCACGTCGCGCATAAAGCACATAAAAATAATTCTTTCAATAAGTTTTTCATACTTTTTTATTTGATCTGGATTTTTATAAATGAGTTTCTATAAATATCAAGATCTTTCTATAAATAATCAAGATTTAAATCAAATTAATATTTTGAACTATTACACTGCCGCTTTAATTTTTTTAAAGACACTTACAAATTCTTGCACGCTACGTCCGGTAAATAACATGAAAAACGTTTTAACATTTCACGCGCAGTGTTCTACGATCACGAACGAATCTTTCGATTGCAGCGTGCAAATCCATCTCTAACTCCTAATCGGCGCGAATGGAGAACGTGACTAAATTATAGCGACATCTTTAAGTGATATATTTACGATCGCCAAGGGGACTTGTGGATAAAACGAGCCTATTGCTCTTTCGTGTTTTTTTCTTTGTTGTTCTTTCCAGATGACAAACAGTGACGCGTGTATTGCATAAGCTCATCACAGAATTGCGTAAAACTCTACCGCGGAAGCTGTTTAGTTGTTGCAAAATGTTTACGTAAAATTTGTTATTTCTCAATATTACTTAAATTTAGACTACACTTCTTTTGATAAAGAAAGATCTTTGATGACCCAAATATTTAAGTCATTCTAATTCAGTCCGACATAATCTGCTCGTAAAGTAACAGTTAGTAGCGAATCGATAAATATTCTAACGCAGTCTTGTTATATGATTGTTATTGTTGCGATATTTCTAGATTAAATTCCAAAGTGTTTCTTTAGTTTCCGCGCGTGTACAAAAATACTTTAAAGATATTTCCTCTAAATGAAAAAGAAGTGAAAATAAGCTTGAATATAATGTTACTACAGTGATCAATGCATCAGTAAAGCTATATAATCGCCTTTGAGAAATCAATTTAAATTAATATATCAAGAAATTACGTTAATTCAACTTTACTGGTTTACTTTAATACATTGCATTAAAATAAACCAATAAATAAAATATAACCGTAAATAGAAACTTTGTTTAACACGTCATACTGAGTATTTTTTTATTCTCTCCTCCAAATATTTTATAAAGACAAATATTCGTTAAAAAGTTCTCACTTGTTATAATTTTTTTATAAATAAAAATATTTGTTACGGGAAGAATACGCAGATCGCCCATCGCAAAATGATAAGCGCATATATCGCGCAAGGTCGCGAAGATTGTGCCAAGATGATCGCGGCACGCGAACCATCGCATCGTCGGTCCCCAGGTACGCCTAACCCGCCAGGAATATCCACGTACACGCCCCCGCCGTGCCAGAATCGTGTAGGGACGCTACACCAACCTCGAGTGCACTGGCCAAGGCACGGACTCATCCGAGAAATATGGCCGTACATTATTATTAGATTATGTTTTCGACGCTGGAGTCGAACAAGCGCGCGAACGTGAGAGCGCAGCCATTCGTTTCGCTCGGACTTCGGATTTCGGATTCACCGGCGCTTACTCTCGCGGTGCCTCGGCCAGATGTTACAACGCTGATACACGAGCCAGAGATACCGAGCAGATAAGCCTGATCAGCGGCTTTGTATTTAGATGAGAAACGAAATTCGAGGAAGAAACGGAGTCAAAATTCCTTGGCTCGCATTCGTGCCATCGCATTTAGCGCGACCGCGCGTCTCTCATCCCGAGATTTATTCGTTTATCGCGAAAAACTTGCCGTACGCCGAAAATCAGTCACACTTGCGGCTAAATGTAGTGTGTGTGCATCTACTTTTGAAAGAGAATTGCAAGAATGTTAAATTAGAGAGTGATGTACGACGCACGATTGGACATCTTAATCTTGAAAGTGAGCTGCTCTTCCAAAGAAACATTTATGATTCGGAAAATTTTATCATCTTAGCATATTTCACATACAAGTCTCAAAATAAGGATTGCTTTATATAAATTTCACTGCAGATTTAGAACGTCAATGTTATTCTCTCTTCTTCTTACTCTTCGTCGCGTGTTAATTAAAAATGCACCAATAATACGATGATATCGCGTAATTTTTGGCATAGACAAGAAAAAACTGTGTTTTTTTTCAGAGAAATTCATTAATCAACGAGAGCGTGCAATTGTGTATGCATCAAACGCCTCGATAACAAATGCGCTGCACGAACCGTGAGGATACTTTACGGCCCTCCCTCGTACTTATCTCCGTCGAATCGCGAAAAATGGGCGAAATGTAGCCGGAGCATTGTAACCGGCAATTTATATCGAAGCAAGATAATCTCACTCACGTTTCGATGCGCCGGTGCGCGAGCCACCCTCTCCGAGGATCCTCTCAGCAGCTCCGCAAGCAGCTCAGGACTCGGCCCCGGAAGTCCCTCGAGTTTCGTCGGGCTGGAGGTCGTCCGATGGTGGCAAGGCGTGGGCGGCTCGGAGCCGCTGTTGTTGCTGCTCGCGTTGTACGAGAGATTCGCAGAGATCTTTCTGCGAGGACGAAGGCCCTCCTCGAGCGCGATGTCGGCGGTGCGCGGCTTTGCCATCTCGGCCTCCAGCATCTGCCCATAAGGCCCGCGGAGCGGCCTTTTGCTATATCTTTGGTTGGAAAGATATCTGTGGTTAATTTTTACAAATATATCATATGTATAAATTACGAATAGAAATAGATTTCGAATGTAATCAAAGCTTTTCATATTTTTTGAAATAAAAAGATGCATTTATTTTGTGAAAATAACATTTCTCAAGGTTTGAAAATATTAAGATGCATAAACTTGATGATAAAATTTTGCAGGAAAAAGCAAGACTCCGAGCAACGATTCTTCTTTTACTCGTGCAACCATAATTACAATACTTCGCTGAAGCTATTATTAACGCGAGTTTGAGTGAAAAAAAATGTAAAATCCGCGCGTCTGCGTATCAGGCGCACTTCCGTTCTATTTTAGCGGTTCTGGGCATAGGTTCTCCGGTTACCTTCGAGGCGTGTGGCCCTCGCAGTCGGACAGGTCGCTGGGCGTCGCAGGTGGCTCGTCTCTCTCCTCGCTGCTCTGAGCCGACAGCTTGTTTCTGTCCGCGTCCAAGGGCTCCGGCCATTGAGTTATGTACACGCCCTTCCTCCTCTTGCTGGTATCGCCCCGATATCGTCTCGCTTTGCCGGACGGCGAGGACGCCTCCGAGGGCGTCTCGCTCGGCGCCTCGCTACCTTCACTCGCCTGACTTAGACGCGGCTCCTCCGGGGGTGGCGTGATAATCACCTCGTGCGGCTCTATCCTGGTCTCTAAAAACGTTTTCACGTTCTTATCATTTTCTCACCCGCCTGCGTCATTCTGTTAGACCGATATTATAACAGAGTCGGAAGAGTATCTGACACTGAAACTAATGGAGCTTAAGCTTCTCAGACCCTAAACTTTCAACGAGCCAAATATATTTTCTTCAGCCGTGGGATGAGTTTGTTCCCAAACATTTGTCTATATTTTAAAAATAGAACGTAAGAATAGAAGCGGAATACAAACCCTCTCTCATAGAGATGCACATCTTCTGATTCGATTATATTCATGCTAAGTGCCTGAAAACTTTTCAGCTTCAGATCATCAAAAGTTCGAATCTCTCTCTAGATTTGCAAATTTTTATTTGTGCGGTTTTTAAAAATTAAATTTAATTAAAAAATTAATTTTATCGCGTGAATCGTGTTAACTAAATATCTTATTATTTATGAGATAGTTTTAAGTAAGAGAGATTCGTCAATTCTCTTCCAGTTTTGAATTAAAGAATTGTTAGCGGTAATTCAGCTCGCTCTGATATTTTATCGATTAATTCAAATTGAGGCTCAAGGAGTCTAATTCGCGTGAAAATGTATGCGAATTCAATCGAGCCCCAAATGGAAACGTGATTTTATTAACCCACGGAATCGAATGAAAGAGCCGTGCATGTACTTCGCGACGTTGGACGATGGACGGAGTGAGTAGGGTGAGGTTCGAGGGAAAGAACGAGGACTATTTTGGGTGCATCGACAGGAGCACGGGTACAAAGGTGCACGCAACTTCCATGTTATTTTGCGCGGCACTATTTTCAGAACGGTGGGTGCCAGTGTGGAAATAGACGTTTGAGCGTCATTGAGTTATAGCCATCTTCATTGATGACTTCACGCGCGGCCGCACTCACGCACGGCTGGAACCGCGCTATTCACAATAAATGATGAACCGACGCGCATTTCTCAACCGATGACGACGATCCCTAGCGTCGCGGCTACTGTTGCTTCGCCTTGTTCGTACGTTTCCTGCCGTTGTTTCCTCGCGATGAGCAACGCAGCGCGAAATTCGGGCAAACAGATCTTGCTCGCGCACGCGGACTCCCACGCGAGTGTATTTCCGTTTTATATCCTACCAAGATATCTCTCACGCACACAATCGATCTACTGCAGCGAGTGGAAACTTTGCTCTCTATTAGCTTTGGGAACCGCTCGCTGTTGTTTCTTGTTTTTCTCTTTCTTTGAAATTACGTTAACAAGATGAGAATATGTGACTTTTTCGTTAAGACAATAACAAAATTATATTCGCATATAAATTAATATCGCGTCAACTCGAAATTGTAAGATGAACTCTAAAATAATAAGTAAAATATAATAATAAAATAGTAAACAAAATCTTAAATTGCTTACATTAGTCGAAACCAAAAGAATTAAATGTATTGTCTCATTAGTTTTTTTTCTTTTAAATAATAAAGTACAATAAAATATATGACATACTTCTAAGAGCATCAAAATCACATTTCATGTTTCCAAACGAAAAAATCTCATAATTTTTCTAGAGAAACTAGTATGAGATATCAATAAGACAGAATAAATATTTCTTATTTCGAAGTCTCACCTTTTTGAACGGTTTCCTCTACAGTGTTTCCTTCGACCATCGGGTAGACCGATTCGTGGCTGACCGCCTCGACAGTAGATGCGTCCGTTTGCGCTAAATCAACTCTGGGCTCGTTCGCCTCCGGAACCAGAGGTTCCGGGCTCGTGAGTGCGCTGGAAGTTACGAGACTGTCTGAGCCATCGCTTCTGGGTCGAATCTCTTCGTGATTTCCTTGTTGAGGGACGCCCAGACCCTCGGCAGAGCCGACGGCGCTGTCGACGCTCGGCGTCGATGTTCTTGGACTCTGTCGGTTGGGACTGTTTTGAGGCGTCGAGCCACCTGGAGTGACATCACCACGACGACGAGGCAATGTGCTCGCTCGAACGTCTTTGGTCTCGGAGCGATTAGACGTCGTGATCGGCTGAGTCTTCTGTCGGTTCGCTGGAAGAGGAAAGTGCGAATTCGCGCTGAAAGTAAAATCTGCATCTTGCAGAAATTCACAAGAAGTTAGTAAAATTGCCTGTTTAATTAGGAGGTTTCGCGGAAAAAAATATTATGCAAAACATTTTTATCAAAAGCAATATTTTATGTTAACGCTGACATTAAAGTCACTGCAGACAAAAAATCTCCAGAAAACAATAAAAATAGTAATTTCTATTATTATAATATTTAATAAGCATTTTATTATTTTATAAATTACTATTTGTTCTCATTATTCCTCGTAAAACTTTGAAGGAAAGAAAATTTCAAACAAGAAAATTAAGCATTAACACTACTCGTGATATTATATATTTAAGAAAGCAGATTTCGGTATAAATTAGTGTGATTCCTGTAGATACCTCCGATTGACGTATTCCAGATATGTATTGCGCGCGCGACGATCTTTAATAATAACTCAAGTACTCTTGCACCGAGCAACGGTAAGGCCGTCTCTCGGTCGCGAGGAAAGCGAGAGACGCAACGAAATAAGAGAGAACCAGAGGAAGTCCTAATTACCTCCTCGAGTGTCACGTAAGTTTGGCAGCGCTCTTAGGCCGAGGAGGTGGACCATTCCAATAATAACAAACAGACCGCGCGAGACGAGAAGAGATCTCGAAGCGGCGTATCTCGTTGGCGGTGTTCCGTACTGACCGATTAAGATGTGCGATACAAAATTTTATTTCGCGAACCAAGCGGAGAAATAATTTTGCACTTTATTTTCGATATTGTAAATACGGGGAAATATATTTTGCAGTAATCACGGAACGTTTCTCATGTAAAAATGTAAATAATAATTTCGTGTATTTACAGGTAAATAAAAACCCGTTGAAATTAGAAATTATATTTCACTCGCTGGATAAAAAGCGTTATGTTTTTTTGCGCAGCAAATTAAAAATATTGTTTTTCTACATTCTCTACAGCTCTTCTAATTTATATTCAACAATAATTGATAATTCAATTAAAATTTAATTAAGTTTAGTTACTTGATAGTTGATTGCAATATATATTTGCAATGAAATGTAATTCCAAACTGAAATAATTTCAATCGCAAAAAGCTGTAAATATTCAAACGACATTATATGTGTGTCGGGATATTCGATAAAATTTATTTAATCTCTGCACAACGTAAACAGCTGTCGGATAAATAGACTTGGCTACCACACCCGGTCCCGGAAAGAAGAGAGACTTGGGCAAGCGCGGAAATCCTGACGACGATATTTCAGGAGCACCTGGTTATCCGTTCTCGCAGTCCGCCTTTCGTGCGTAAAAGGTGTCTCGAAAGATTTGTTGCCGCGGAAGCGTGAAATGTTTCCGGCTTGCCAACGAGGCTCCGTTTTCGCGCCTTTGGTGCCATCACAGAATTCAGTTGGCTGTTACACTTGATTACACAATTAATAATACTATTTTTTAACAAAAATATTTTTAGTTCTAAAATCTATTATTAATATAGCCTTAGAGTAATATAAAAAATTTTGTTATAAAATAAAAAATATTTTAATAAAATAAAAATTGATTTATCGAGAAATTTGTGTAAATTTAACTTTTTTAAATTCTTCTTTATTTCGATAAGCTTCAATTTGCACATCAAAAGCGAGTAAAGTTTTCTCTTATAATTAGAGCAAATATAAGGCTTTATAATGATCTAGGCAAATAATGCGAATACAGGCCAAGGGCGCCAGATGCATTATTACTGAATCTGCCATTAGAAATTCGAACCACGTTGACAGCTGCACTTAACACTTTTCTTATTTCTAGTCCATTATGCAACCAAAGCTACTGCGCTATGTAGTTCAGGGCTGAAACCTAACGCAAGGTTGTCATCACGGTGTCATTTTAGTTCCGGATTTATGAAGGAATTTTATGAAGATCCGCATGAATCATTAATCAAGAAGAAAATTCCGAGTCACTGTCAAACAATTTTTTACGCAACATCGCGCTTTTAAGACACGACTGAGCTGTAATCAAGAAGCCAATAATTTAAGCGCGCATGAGTACGTTCTCAATTTCCATTCTATTCAACACAATCGCGATAAGCTGAATCTTGCGGTAAACATAATCTGCATCAGTCTCGCAGTAATTGGTTTAATTAGAAGACTCGAGGCGGTTCTTAACGAGCTCAGCAGTCTGTGCGCGGTACACGGAAGCTTACCTTGATTAAAGTCCACCTGGCCAAAGGAGGCACTCCTATAGGGCGCGCCCGCCCTGTGAAAGGCGAGCAGCCCACGCGGCTCCAGCCTGGTGATGGCATCCCGTGCCTCCCCCTCGCTGCCGCCGACGGAAGCGGCGTTCAGGTTATCACACAGATCATCCACACTCGTAGCACTGTCCACCACGGAATCACTGTACTGTCTCAAGTGCTTCGCCGCCTCTGCGTTGGCGTTCGGCTCGCTCCTAAGGTCACTGACGTCACCACTGTTTCGCTCAGGCCTGCCTGGTCTCGAGGGCTTCCTCGAGTCGTGGCAGGGCTTCCGGTACGCGTTATTCCCCGAACGATCACTGAGGCACTCTTCACTGACACTCTCACTGCGGACAATCGTCTTCGGATGCTCTTGCTGCTGTTGCTGAGCTTGCTGATTGTTGCCGCCATGCGAGCTCCCCTCGCTGTACGTGTAGCTGCGATGAGATGGACGACCATCGCAACGGCCGCAGCCTGAATTCGAACCGGTCTAAAAAAAACCCAGGAAAGAAGTTTTGCAAAGACTCGCATTGAGTTGAATTACATTTGTAAGATTTACATCGAGTTAAATCTGTCGAAAATATCCGAAATCTTTGAATGAGCATTCATGCATTCGAACACGCCTACTTCGCGCACATACGTGGGCAGATTTTAATTAGATATTCAATTTCGTGTAGGCAACAAATCAGAGAATAGTTAGTTACAGCATGTGTGATTATTATCACCATATGTCAAAGGTCATCAAACTTGGCGTAATATCACGCATTTAATAATTCTTTTGTCACGACGTAATAATGCTATAATATCATTGACATTATAACAAGTGATTTATTAAGAGCAGCTAAATAACAAAGGCACAATATGCGAAATTATTACGATATGCCAGAGCGATCATTATTTGTGCGTCAGTCTCTATGTGTAGATAGAAGAGACTAATCATCATTATACGCGTCTCGGAATGTACTGAGTTCAGCGAAATCGTGATAAAGGCGTCTCGCGAATCACGAAGTTCAGCAAAACTTTTCTCAGAATAAGCCACAAGATGAATATTAAGCTCCCATTAATAGCATTTTCTTTCTTAGCAATAGCAAACGTAAAATAATATAAAATTCAATAGTGCGAAAAATAGGTATAAATAAAGGAGAAAGAAGGAAAGAATTTGTGTGTGTAAAAAAGACAAAAAATTTTGAATAAAATGGATTAAAAAATATAAAGAAAAATAAAAACGTGCACACGCGTAAACAATCTTGTATTTACATCGTTATAATTAACGATCACAAAGTGAGTCTAAGGGTGCGTTCGGGGAGCGCGCTATCAGCGCTATTGTGTCATTCTATCCTTGTTTTATGTCTAATGAGCGATAAAGATAGAATGACGCAAATAGCGCTAATAGCGTCTCCCCAAACGCACCTAAAGAGTCGCAAGTTTACTCGCCTTCACACGATCTCACAGTGGGTGTGAAATATCGCTCGTTCGTGCACAGCAAATGTCAAACTTTCGTCATCGTGACGTCGGAATTCCTCACCTGTGGATAATTTTGAGACGACGGCTGATATCCGCTCGGCGGAGGGGAGGAAGCCTGTACTCGCGACGGTCTTCTGGGTGGCGGAACCGGTGCTGGTCCCTTGAGTTTCTCGGTGAGCTCGCGAAGGCGCTCGGCCTTCTCGCTGCGGGGGCCGGAAGAGGACTTTTTGCCACTTCCTCCTCCGCCCCCGCTCCACCGAAACCTGTGCAGTCGGTCCACTGCTATCACTGCTGGTTCCTGCAGTCGAACACGGGAAAACAAATAAATCTCGCGGCTCGCAACGGTTCGATGCACGTAAAAAGAACTTGTGAAACAAATAATTCTGTTTATTTTTCATTACTCGCGAACATCTATTTTTAGTGGCTCGAAACAATATCAGCAAAGTCGATTTATCGTGCAAATGCCTAGCGACGGATTTGTCTATTGACTTGTAAAAGCGTATTTCTAATTTATTGCAAAACACAGTCGACTCCGGTTAATTGGGACACACCGGGACGGACCCAATTAAGCGGTTGCCCCAATTATCCAAACACCGATCCTTTATCTATTGGGATTTGTTCTTTAAGACTCGCCCGAAATAAACGACTGCCCCAATTAACCGGAATCGACTGTATTTCCAAAAAAATGTGAAACAAAAATTGCGTAAGATACTTACTTCGCGCGCAAATGCATTTTTCACAAATGCAAAAGCGTGCATTGCGCTTGTGTGGCGACTAACGAGCGATAATAGCGGCGCGCGTCGCGATCGAGACGATGTCATGCGGGTGAACGTAGCCGCGGCGAAGTGGCAGGCCTAGGACATCGAAAACTCATACGGGCGCGTAGATGTCTAGTCGAAGAAGAAGCGATATTCTATTTTCGTCTTCGTCTCTATCCTTCCCCTCTCGGAGCGGCAGCGTGCTGCGCTGCTGTGCGCGAGGCGATCCAAAAATCTGGCGGACGCGCGAGTTGCACGATTTTAAAAAGTAAATGAAGAAACCGAGATGAGGGAGTGTGCAGAAAGATCAAGCGCAAATTTTGGCACGTTTCTCTCCGCAAGTCGAGGAATCTTCCTGGCGCGGAGAAATCATGAGTGTTTCGAAGCAAAGTATTGATAATCTCATAAAAATTAAAAAATGCTAATGTAAAAGAGCGGGAAGAGTTTAATACACTAATTTCAAACATAAAAAGGAAATTATGTTATTAACTTGCTGACAAACAAATGTTAAATTTTTTATTTGGCACTCCCACACACAATCAAGATTTAAAAGACCTCTTATATAAAAGATTTGGTAAGAGAATAGCATTTTAAATACGTTGAAAAAAATGGCATCTTTTTAAATAACTGTTGACTCTTTAAACATTAATATTAATATCACGCCGCGGGAAGAAACTAAGATTTCCTTCAAAATCTTAACAAAATTTCTTTTCAAAAGTAATATAATGTTAAACGTTTGCGGTATTTTGCTCAAAACAGATTGAGTTCTCGATGACCTTGTGACCTACCTCGGGGCTGCTGACACAGAGTCTTCCGGACCTAAGCCACTCCACTTTGTATCCCTTGCGATCACCTCAACAAATTTACGCGCGAAGCTCGAATCTCGCGCGGACTATGGGCGAGCGCGATCGAATGCCCATCGCGAAACAACGAAACGAACGATCGACCGAATGACCGACCGGAGAAGCAAAATGATTGAGCGATCGATCGATCTCGGCGCGCGATCGACTGAAGCAAGTACCTGCAACTTGAGCGTCTGATGCTTCGTCCACTGCGCGAGCTGCCGCGGCACGGAGACGGTCTGCGTCGTCGTCGGGACGCCAGACGAGTAGCCAAGCGACGTCGAGGATAAGGACGGCGTCGACGGTGAGTACGATGACGTTACCGCCGCTGCCGCTGTTTGTGGATAAAGCTGTTGGTAGTGGTGGTGGTAGTGTGCTTGATGCTGCTGCTGCTGCTGCTGGCTGGTGCTGCCGAAGTTCCCCACCGACGTTTGCACCGCACTGCGACTATTATTAGCGAGCGTCGTCTCCGCGACGCCCGTCGCAGAAACAGGAAGAGGCGGCGAGTAGTCGCCGGTGGTGACGCCGATGCTTCTGGACGGATGACCACCGACGACGACCGAAGGGCACGACGACGAAGACGTTGCGGCCGTCGCCATGGAAGGCGTCGTCGAGGAGACCATCGGTGGAATTCGCGGGAGCGGAAGTCGCGATCGCGGACCGATACAGCAGCAATCGGCGATGCCGGCCGCCAGATCGATCGGCGGCTTCTCCGCCGCCGGTTTCTCGGTCAGCCGCTCCCGCGAGTCGCTCTCGCGCGAGTTTCGCTTCCGCCGGCTCTCCTGCGATTCCTCCTTGGAATTGGCCGGCGGCAGGCTCTCCTGGAACAAATGAAATGCTTCTTCCTTGTAAAGCAATCTTCATAATCGCTTATCTTTGATCCAATTTCTTTTTTATCGCATGAAATGTAAATATCGTATCTTTTATTAATTAAAGCGTTTTTATGTGCTCGTGTAAATCTAATTCGGAATGAGAAAAAGTATTAAGAATACAGGTGGAAGAGACTTGGGTTTAAAAATAGTAAAGAAAAATGGTCGAAAAATTCCGTCGAAAATAGAATTATGTTACTGGTACGCAACTTCTACAAGTTGTCTCATATATCTTCCTTACTTATTTGCTATTTCGTTGTATTCCGCAGACGTGCGCGTCCTCATATTCGCTTTATTTCTTCGTCTCCAGCGATGCATTTTTCTCCTTTCCATTTCTCTTATATGTTCCGGTCTCTTAACTTGGAAACTCTGTGTTCTTCGCGTTGTCTCTAATGTCTCCGATATTTTTAAACTTGCGTGACGTGCAAAGAGCACTGTTACACACTCTGCTTTTAAGGGCGTATTCGCGCAAAATCTTTTTCGCCGCAATGCTTCTGAACTCCGGAATTAAGTTTTTTATATAATAAAATCTAAAATGATATTTTTAGAAGGTCGGAATCGATAATGGCGTCAGTGATCTACGTGACGAGTGCAAATAACAACGAATTTATACGGATTTCGATAGAAATCGGCGGAGAATAGTGTGCGAAGGTGTCACACAAGATTCACGTCGGCGTGCGTGTCGGTGTGACGTCAATGGTGCTTATTATTTCGTGACAAAGCTATCGTGAAAAGGAAGACGGAAAGTCGGAAAGAGCAGCGGAGATGAGAATCGAAAGTCGGCGAAATCGGCTCAAGTCAGTGACTGGCGGATTCTATTTGTGCGATTGGTTCTAAATTTAAATCTTTCGACGTCTTGATCTTGTCGCCAAATTATTCCTGTCGCGACTTGTTCGAAGGTCGTCACCCAGGTTCAAAGGGAACTGCCGGGTTGAGCGGTATTCAGAATGATGCAAGTTTCCTCTTGCGTAATAGCACGTAAGTACTAGTTTTCGTTTTCGAATGAGATCAAAATATTTTATTTCCATTTTATTTAGAACTTCGAAACTTTTTCACTTTCGGTGCATTTATCCGAAATAGATTAACTTACGATATACAAATTATCACCATTATAAATAATTAAAATTAGAATAAAGACACGTGCACAAGTTCCTTTAAATAATCGAAAAAGTATAAATATCTGATGATAACTTTTGTCTTGAATTACTCAAGAATATTTCACAAAGTTATCATTGCTCTTCATATCACTCGTATTCTATTGTGAGGTGAAATGAAATATTCCACTAAAAGTGTAACGTATTAATGACTGAATCACACAATACCTGGGAAATCCGCAGACCGTATCTGGTGCCACCCAGAACGACGTATCCGCCAGAGACGTTTGCACCCGTCATGGCCCTCGCAGCGCCTCCCAGCCATCCTCCGAAGCCACCTCCTCCCGTCTTCTGGGGCCCGCTACCCCCGTCTCCACCGCCAGCACGAGGCATTCTTCATCCTTCCCTCACCCTGAAATTCAAACCACGTGAAACAAACATGAATGAAAAAAGCAGTCAAGCGCCAAACTAAGAATGGCACGCATAAAATGGAAAAGGAGACAAATCTTGCGTTGCATAGCGCGAAAAAAGATTACAGCTCGCACGAGTCGTTTTTGAGTGTCTTGCGCGTGGACTAACGAGCTAGATTCATCTTGCGAGATATTAACGATCTCGCTTGAGTTACAAGCGAGCAGCTCACGCGACGGACACATCACGCACTTACGCACGCAAAATGCGAATCGCTGCGTGAATTACTGCGAACGTCCGCGCATTCCCCAATAACTGTCGGCCACGGTCTTATTTATTTATCGTGCGCCACAACCGATGAATGAAGCTCACCGCAATTCACGAGCCGCTACCATTAAAAGTTGCGAATGGTCGCGCCATTACCGGAAGTGACGAGGCCATCACGCGGTAGCAAGATCAATGCTGGCTGCGAAACTCTTTCTTCGCTCTCGTCAGATCCGAGAATGAGCTTACCAACGTCTTCCGATTTCGGTTCTATGGGTGAAGTTAAGAAAAACTTTCCGAGAATTCGAAGCGATTCTGTGATTTCCCGACGGCACAAGGTATTTCGCTTTACAAATTAAATAAATTGCTGTAACGAGCGAAACTTTGCAACGCACCATTATTTTTAAACCCTCTACAAAATAAAGTGACTTTAAAATAGCGCGCACTTGTTCTACAATGCTAATTCTATAATTTAAAACATTGCAACTTTGAGATTTTCAAAAATGTCAACAACAAAATTAAGTAAAATAATTTTATTTATATTATTCTGAAATTTGTCCGTAATATTTTTTACTCTTCTGATTTTTCTTTCTCGTCGAGCGTATTCTTAAATCGTAGTAAGTTGCGTGACAAATTACGACGTTTCTTCAAACTTCAAGGATGCCGTATCCCGCTGTGCGTTTCGGTGAAGTCGCCATTGACATCGTTACAGAATCGTAAAAACGCGCAGTGTAGATATCTATAAAGTTCCCAGTAAACCAGCACGGTTCAGAGTAATGACAGGAAGTCGCCGTCGCGCCAATGTATCGTAATTCTTTTTATATAAAATCAATTTCAAATAATGAAATGTGGATTCTATCCCACCTACGTGAGTATTTAGCATATTTTATTATAATATTAAGTAAATTAAAGTCAGAATCGAAACATTTTTGCACAGTCATATTTAGCATGAAATGTGCAGTCAAAATATAGGCCATAGAGAGACTTGTGGTGATTTATATATAAAAACCGTTTTACAGACATTTTGCTGTTTTACTATACGTTCACAATATTTCTAAAACCGTTTTCCGCACTTCTAAAGCTTCACGATAGCGTATTGACACGCGCTAATTGCACATTTCCCATCGGGATCAATAAAAGGCGCGTGCAATAATCCGAATCGGATCAGCTGATTGTTATAGCGCGTAATTGTCGCGATGCTATTTGAATGAATGAATTTCACAGATCGCTCGCCGGTCGTTCATCACGCGCGGATAAATAAGTAAGTAATTAAAGTAAAACTGTAATTATGCTGCATAAATCTCGATCTGCTACCTACACTGCCTCCCACGCTGCGATGTAAAATAACGATTGGATGGAATAGCGGTCAATGGTAGAGAGTAGCAATGACCGTAGATGTGGGTGAGCGTTATATTATCAAAATTATCGGCTATTACCGGTTGACTTCGCTAATAACGAGTGACTTTTACATAATACACGTTATATTGAGAAAAATTATTTTTTACTTTCTCTTTTAAACAAACAATTGTGAAAAATTAAAATTTTCTTTTTCATTAATATATTTATTTTATATATTGTGACACGTAGCCGTTTTTTTAATGTGACGGAAAACGTATTTTCGTTGATAAAATTTGGTCGCGGATCGATAAAAATGTTGTTTGTCCTGTCAGCGGTACATAATATAAAATAAAAAATTATTCCTAGCGCCTCTGTTTACCATTTTTGGCCTTATCTTTTACTTTACTTACTTACGTAAAAAATATAGTGATATAAAAGCTGATTGACAATCAGCAACATTGAGTAACCTACATTATAAAACTTATTAATTAAGAAACACCAGATCTGTAATTTAAGTAACATTTCAAAGCTTATATGACTCGAAGCGTTCTTATCCCTATTTGGTATTAAGAAGGTTAACTGTCAACTATTTAAATAAATAACAAAGTTTATATCGTGCACGCGACAAAAGTGTGTAGAATGCAGATTTAATTGCAATTTATACCCGAGCAGTTAAAAGAAATAGCGGTTTAATGGACGGGCGCCCGTTTAAGTAGATAAGCGTGGCAGCGGCTGACAGGTTTAATGTATGAAAATTCGCTGAAATTCTCGCGCACGCGGCCTTGCATAAAACACCCGCTTCGAATTTATTATCACCGTTAAAGCAAACGGGACGCTTCGTCGGGCCGGAAGCCGCTGACGTGCATTATTGCCGCTACTCGAGGGACCAATAGTATGCCATCCTTCTTTCCCGTTCGATCGTCCTTCTTTCCCGTTCGAAACTGTTTTTTTTGTTCCGAATATATTTCCGGCACAAAGCTAATTTCCGATACGACTGCAAAATTTTTCAAACTGCTCGAAACTAAATGTAGGTATATCGAAAATGATCTAGAAATAGAAAAGCTTTACACATTTAAGAATTAAAAAAATTGTTAGTATTCGAAAATATCAGAAACAGTTTCTTCTTCGAATATTTATAAAATCTGTATTTGTACATCATGATCTTCTATTCAATCTTGCAATGGCAAAATTTAAGAAATTATATAAAAAATTAAAAAAAGGGTTTAAAAGTTTATTTGTATCTTATCAAAGATCTAAATGTGTAAAGGAATGTAAATGATTCTTGATTGTGCATACCACCACTCAACAAAACCACGCGCCCGTTAAAAGCACGCCTATTATTATCTCATGTGCGTTGCTACCATAAAATAAGATCGACGGTTATCAAGCCTCGTAGGTATTGCGTCACTTTGTTCGTAATCGATGACGGATCGACGTCGCGAATCGTTGAAACGAACTCGCGCCAAAACGCCCGCGAATTCGTCGCGATGGGAAGATGAAATTCGAGAAAAAAATCGTTTCTCTTTTGTTGACGTAAAAAATGTGTTTATTGGCGACGTTACGCCGTTTGGCGTCTATCCATTGTGTTGTTTGGATTTTTTTAATGTGACGGAAAACGTATTTTCGTCGGTGAAATTTGGTCGCGGATCGACAAAAATGTTGTTTGTCCTATCAGCGGTACATAATATAAAATAAAAAATTATTCCTAGCGTCTCTATTTACCATTTTTTGCCTTATCTTTTACTTTACTTACTTACGTAAAAAATATAGTGATATAAAAGCTAACTGACAATCGGTAACATTGAATAGCAAAATTGTTT